GGGTGCCCAGGTGCGCTGCGTCGCCATATGCGATCATGAGGGCCGGAGCTCGCAGGGCTGCTCTATAAAAAGGGCAGCAGCAGCACAGGAGCTGGTTCCCTGGGCTTTCACCCTCCAGCCTGCCTGTTGAGGATGGTGATACCTGACCTGCTTCTGTATAAACAGCTCAGGAGGCTGGGACTGCTCACGGTGCTGCTTTTGCCTTGTCTGTGGCCCAAGGATGCCGGGGTAAGTCTGCTGCTCTCCCCACCAGACCTTGGGTGGCTTTTCCTCTGACCCAGCTCTGCTAATGGCCTGCTGCTGTCTGGAGGTAGCTGACGGGCTGATGGCGTAGGGCCCCTCACAGGTTGTGGGAGAAAAAAAAAAATGGGGGGGTTGCCTTTGGAGAAGTTGCTTGTAAGTCTTTCTGCCATGTGTTGCAGGCAGAACCCTGGATCTTTAAGCTTTGGTCTTCCAAACAGATAGGAAAGCTCTTCACTTAGTGGGCAGCTGGGTAGCCCAGCTGCTGTCTGAGTGGGCAGGGACCCATCCTGCAGCGCTGGGCTGCGTCTGCCTTCCCCGGCTCAGCCAAGCTGCACTGCCTGCTCACTGTGATCCATCTGGGGTCAGGCTTTGACTTTTGTACTCTCCAGCAGAGCCAGCCCAGGGTAGATGTTGCTCTGGAGCTGGCCTCAGTCTCCCCTGAAACTCCTGGTGTCCAGCAGATGATGGCGGGTGGCTTTAAGGATTGGAATGCCTCTGGCATGTGTCACACTGTGCTGGCACTGCTCAGTGCCCCAAGCGTTGCTTTTCCAAGGTGGCTGGGAGGGGGCTAGGACTGGTCTAGCTGAGCCTGCTGTAGAGGAGGCTGGTGGGGGAGAGGGGGGTGGATGCAGGCAGGGAATGAGTCAGCCTAAAGAACGATTAGCTAAAGATTTGGAGAAGGACATAGAGATAGAAACGATCTTAAGGCTGGAACAAGTGGTGGTGAGCTACTTGCAGTGTAACTAACCCAGAGGGGGAAAGGACTAGCCTTGAGGCAGATAAAAGCTCTGTTGTGTGCACAGCCTTATCTTGGGCCCTGCTTCAGCTTCACATTCTTGGAATTGCTGCAGTGCTTGTCTGGATGGGGCCACAGCCACAGGCCACAGCACCTTAGGTGCTCATCCACACAACCTTTCACCTCCTCTGGGCGCTGCCGGCAGGGAGGAAACCCTTTCTGCAAACACCGGCTGGCAGAAGCACTGGCCTTGGGCAGCTCTTAGCTCAGCGGCGAGAAAATCCTCCAAAAGACACTCGGGCTTTGCCCAGTGCACCCGGCACAGGACGCGTCCAGCAGTTAGCACTTTGGGCTGAGCAGAAGAGGTGAGGTGGGTGTTAGAGTAAGACACAAACGATGAGTGGAACCTCCTTGTCTGCTATGTTTTCCCCGGGGTGAAGTCCTTCATTAGAGCTGTGTGACCGTGTTTCATTTTGGAAGTTCTTAGACCTCCAGTTCCCTGGTCTGTGTACCAGGGTGGGAGCATCACCTGTGGGTTTGCAAGCAATACCACCCCTGCTTTCACACTGCTACCTGTAGATCTGCCTTCAGGAGAAAACAGGATACCATGAAAGAACAGACACAAATGGCTTTAAAACAAAGACCGGTGTATTTCTACTAGACTATTTGATACAGCAGATGCCGGTAGGATGAATGGTCACTCTCAAAAGCAAATACAAATATATTTTATTTAGACAAAACTTCTCACAAAGGATAGACACACTGATTTTGTGGTATTACTGTGCAAAACCTGAAGTGTTATTAATGCACAGGCAGTCCCATGCCTAACTTCCCAACCCCTTTCTCTGTGTATTTAAAAATAGGAAGACACCAGCCAGTTTAAAAACCAGAACCTGCAAGAAGGCCCAGTGATAACCAAGTGCAAACAAAGCAAAGTGAGTTCACCAAAGGGGTTTCATTTTGCAGTGAATCCATGTTCTAAGTTCTGACTGAGAAAGGCATAAGCACCCTTCTTCAACCTCCCCTGAGGACCACAATTTTTGACTTTACAGAAAAACAAAGTAACATAGAGCAAGCATCTAGAGAGCAATGAAGAGATTAATTCCAAAATCCCCTTTAAGTATGACAAGAAACTGGCCACAATTGAGACAAAATGGAAAGTTTTTTTCTCTCACTTTGGTGCAAGTTTATTTATTTTGTACACTATCCATCCATACACCTGTGATACAAATTCTAGGAATCTGCCACAAAGCATTAAAGCACAACATACCTATTATTCTGTAGATGTTTGCATTTTTGATCACCATCCAGCCTACATGGATCAGCAGTGAGTCAACACAGAAACCTGTAGTTCTGTAAAAATGCAGATGTCTGATAACCGTACATACTTGAGGGGGGGAGAGCAATAATGTTCACTTTTAGGGAACATGGCTCAAATATTCAGATTTAAAAAAAAAAAGTCCCTGGAAGAGCTGGCTGTGTAAGGATTTCCGTACAGGATCTTGTAAACTCATTTTATATAGTAAAATCTAAGCCTGCAGGCTTTTTTCTTTGTGGAGGTCAGTAATAAGGATACATGACGACTTACTGTCTTTTGCATTTACTCTATCTTGCAGCATAGTGCCTTCAGCTGTTGGCAGATTTGACAAACTTACTGGAGTACCTGGAGTGCTGTATATGGGTAAAGGGAATGCTCCACACCCTCAGCTGTATTTGTAATAGGGCTTTTCCAGCTAGGAAGTTTTCCAACCAGTACGATCAGTGATTGAAAACAGCTAATACTTCTGAACCATGAATGTGGCTTAATTAAAATGACCTAGCAGTAAATGCAGTCACAATAGGAAGTTTATGCGTCAAGAAACACAAAACACAAAGACAATGCTATTTGTTCCACAGTTCCCTCTGAGGCTAGAAAACCTGTTAACTCTGAAAGCCCTAGAAAAATGCTGCACTGGTTTAGAAACCATCTACTTGGCATAGGACCACATTTGTTTTTTGCACACAAACATTTCATAAATCTCCTTATTTCCGCATTAAGCATTCTGCATTTCTTTGCCAATCTTGTAGCTGAGGATTTTGTTCCAGTCGATCTTGGTGCGGGTGACGGGTAGCTGCCGGCGTAAGGCTTTGAAAGTGGTGTCTGACATAGTCTGGTAATTTTCACTGATTGCTGTCTGCAATGGCAAGTAGATTCAGTTATGGTAGTAACAAGATACTCTGAGACAGCATGCCTCAGTGTTAAAGCCACAAAACCTTTCTACAAGGTGAAGACACACTAACTCAATAATAAAGTCACCAGTGTGTGCGCACAAGTAAAAGCATTTCTCTTAAGGTCCCCTGTAATGTAGCAGTGTCTCCTTAGGTGTTTCACTGACTTATCTGTATTGAGTCTCCTTGCACACAGGCTGGGACAATGTAAAAAGCTGTCATACAAATTTCCTCTTCAGTATTTTTAACTGTCACAGAGGAAAACATTTAGACTCACCCGCTCCCCTTCCATTCTTGTTCCAGGCACCATTTGTAACCCTTTAAAATAACTATACAGCAAACCTGATCATTAATTACACATAGCTTTACAACTATATTCTTTGAACAAATACTACTGCCCTTTTCTAAGTAATTCTTACAGTCAGTAACAGATTCAGCCAGAAACAGAATTAGAGGTCAATTTTCCATGTTTCCATTAGCTGTAAATGGAGACTATGATGCCATTGTATTTAACAACCTGATCTTACCTGGTACTCGTTTTCTGCATTTTCTATTATCTTAATAAACTCCTTGGCTGTCTGGACATCACTCTACAAAGGGGAAAAATAAATTTCTGTATGTTTAAGAGCAGCTTACAACAGCTACACAATAGATTTCTTCTCAAATGATAGGCTGAGTACAGATGAAGTAGGTAACATCAGCAGCTTCTGCCCCATGTTTGTAGCTAGGTTCCTTTCACTATGGATCTCTTGGTGAGGTTCAAGATAGAGGTATGTACTGGCTAGAGCTTGTGCTCCAAACCGAAACAGGACTGCACTCTAGTGAGCAAAAGGGAAGTAGACCTTCATGGTATAGATCAGAGATTTTGTGACTTGCTCCCTCTACTGTACTACAGGACTTCTTATTTTCCCTTAGTGCACTGCTCTTACTGTTCACTTCCCTTGCATCCAGATAGAAAAGCAATTCTGCCCTCTTTAACTGAAACTCCTAAGATAAGCTTTCCAATAGAGACTGTACTTTCTAATACAGTCTAAGCAATTGAGGATCTGGTAACTAAACACTGCAACTACACTGACTAGTCACCCTAAAATTACATTACTTTAAAGTCAAGAGAATGTAGTCATAGAAGTGTATGCTTCACAAAATGTTTAAGAAATCAAATAGTTGCTTTATCATGAAAAAAATCTAGCATACTTACTGAAACCTGTACAGAGTCCTGGATATCTTTATGACTAACCAGTTGAACGTTGCCATCTTCATAATAATGAACCTGAACAAAGAAACAAAATGCAGGTTATCATTAACACTCATTTAATAATCCCTAGAGCCCCCAAATGCTACCAGAATGGCACAACAGCATTGTTGTGCCAGTCTTCTCTGCTTACGTGGAGACTAAAAGCAGGATGGATTTTCTAAAAGGTTTCATTCTTTGTCAAGACTGTTCAAGATTATGTTAATGCAGTAAACGCCTAGAGTTGAAATAAGAGCAATTATAAGAGAATTCATAGTATAGGTTTTAGCCCTATAAAGTGAAGCAGACTTGGAGGCATATAGGGTAATGCTATATAATAAACCACAGGCCGGATTGTAGACAATGTCCAAAACACTAGTTTTAAGAATTAACTTCTTGAACTGTATAGTTTAATAGCACCTTGACTTAAGAAGGACATCTCAGCTGTATTTCAGCATCTGAGTTGAATGCATTTGTGTAAGAGAAGCACAATGCAGCTTCTCCTATTATTGCCAGAAAAAGTAACTCACCTGGATTTTGAGTACTGCAGCCACTTGAGCTGTTGGTGGTGTAATGGTAAACTTCCATTCTGATCTCCAACGACCGTTCCTAAAAACAATCAAAGCATGAAAAGTATTCCCAAAAAGCTCTAAAAACAAAAAGAACCAAACTAACAAGAGCAAATTGTTTCTACTGTCATCTTATTACCAATACTGCAGTGCCTTACATGGCATTGAACTGGATTGCTGAAGCACAGCTGAACACAATGCAGTTTCAGTACAGACTAGGTCCAGTGTACTTGTGCTCTGGAATATGTAAGGGGGGGTTATCTACCTAGCTCTGCTAATGCCTTTCTCTCTGTATAGGTCATTGAGCCACACTGAAGGCTTTGGAAGTGCCAAGGAGGCTGCAAGGAAAACTGACTCCAGAATGAGAAGCAGAACCTCCTGGGAAGCCCAAGACTACTGGCTTTTCAGACTGTGTCAGAAGACATAGAGAATGGGTTTGTTCGAGGACTATTAAAGGAAGAAAATATGCTATGTTGAAATAGTCTTACCAGAAATTTTTGGGCTGGAACTGGTGGCTCTCAATACAGGCAATAATTGTCTGCTGCCCATCTATAGATTTACCATAAACCTGTATTTAGAAAAAGAGTTAAAAAGGCCCAAAAGCTGAAGAAAGTAATTCTTAATTTCCGTTCTTTGGCAGCATTGTGGAGGCTTGCTATTGTGGTATCTTACTGGGAATACACACCACTAATTATGCTGTCCAAGACCTCCACTTGTGTGCAAATAATGCCTTGTTTTCATTAACTGCAGGTGTTAAGGTGCTTGGCAGTCATGTCTATGAAGAATAAGGTCTACTACATCTTTACCACTGTACGCAAATCAAGATATTTGCACCCGCTTCGGAACTTGTTATTCCCGAGTTAGCAAAAACACTAGTGAGGATGGGGAATTCAAACAAACAGCACTGCCCAGCACTAAGTCCACTTGAGGTACTGACTGACATGGAGTGATGAACTTTCAGTGAAACAAGATGGATACTCAACAGTACAGAAGCCATTGGGGTAATGATCTTTCACATAAGCCCTCAGTGCACTGTCACAGGCATCTCTCCATTGTTTTAAAGCTGATTCCGTGTCCTCAGGCTGGGGGTCACTTGCTTCTTTCCTTAAATGATCAAACTTAAAAGAAAGTTTGTTTCTTGGGTCTAAAAATCTGCCATTGCCCAGATCACCATGTTCTGTGATTAAGACCTGTAAAAGAAGTTGAAATTAAGATACACTTATGCTGCTGTAAATGTGCTGTTATGTGTTTTTCCCTGACTATTTGAATAGATACCAATGTTTCAACAGATTCCTTCACTGAGCTATATCATCACATAAAGAAACAAGGATTTTCAGTAGTAATTTCTACTACGATTAGTTGTAGTGAGGCTGTAGGTAAACTCTCTGCTCTTCACAGTAATACTGCACTTAGTCTTCTGTCCCAGAAATGGCTGTATTATTATAATGTATATATTTAGTTTACAGCTGGGCATCTTCACAATAAAAAACAGGTGGTTTTGCTTTTAAAGTTATTTTTGCTGTTTTCCTTCCCCATTTCTAAAGGAAATGAAGCATTTTACTCTGGAATTTACCATTTATTGTCATGTTCCATGTTGCAATAGCTCTCTTTCTGGTGAAGAAGAGCATATAGATATGGCTACTTCTAGCATACACAAACTAAAGTACACAGCAAAGCAGCACTGTACCTTTCTTCTCCTTTGTCTTATTCACCATAATTCTCTGGCTTCCCAAACATTGACTTTTTTTTCAGGTTGTACTGTAACTTTCTCTTGTCAAAGCTATTTCTATGGACAGCCCTCTTAAAAATATCTGCCTCCTATGAACATATCTGGGACACCAGAAAAGCTAGATCAGTACCTGGCTCAGAGACTAGAACAGATGACCAGTTTTCTATCTTCTGTATGACTTGCTGCTTGTTCTCAACAAACAGTTTTGCTGGCATAGACTGGATAGTATTAGATTGGTATAATCAAAGATACAATAAGTTTTCTAGAGTAGCTGGGAATGGATTCAAAATGCAGAAAACAAAAAAAAAAACAAAACAAAACAAAAAAAAACAAAAACAAAAACAAAAAAAACAACCCACAAAAAAAAGCCACAAAAAAACCCCCCCAAAAAACCCGAAAAAACCAAACCAACAAACTACTACCAATTGTCAGTAGGAACTGTAAGCAGGTAGCAACATAAGGATTTATAAATGAGCTCTAAATAAACAGTAATCTTTAATCACTCATATTCTAAGTAGAATTCCAGTAATTTCAGCATGGAGCTTTACTTAAGGAACAATGAATTAGAGTTCCTAGGTAGTATCTGACAATACTTTAAGAGAACACTTCACCTATGCTTCTTCTACAAGAACAAAAGTTTGGTAATATAAAGATGTGTGGAGGAAGGAGGAGAAGTGGTAACTTGTGAGTAGAATGCAACTAGTCAACACCTTGATGAAACAACATTTTTATTGTTTTTGCACAGTGTAGTAACACAAACCTCAAGTGTAAATGGTTTTCTCTTACCTGATCATCATACCCTTCTATCTTCACTGGAGTGAACTGGTCCATGTTATACTGTGCAAATGCACTGTTAAGAATTAAAAGAACATGAACTTGAGCTGTACATGCACATTTATTTTGACTCAAGTAAATGGTGTGATTTATATTACAGAAAATTTCAACTTAATTTGGCAAATAATACACGAGTATTCTTAAAGGATGTTTTTCAATACCTTTTATTGATAATAGCTATAAAAACCCAGGTCTAAAGCCTGGTTTATTTAGTGACGACCAGGAAAGTACAGAGTTCAAAAGTAGAACAGCAGGCAGCCTGGGGGAATATGAGCAAGCCAAGGCAAAACAGGAACACCCCAGCTACAATTTAGAGAGCAGCAAGGTAAACAAACAAGTGGACTAATGTTTACAACAATTTTCTTATGTAAAGACCTGCTGACTGACATGTCACCTAGCCTGAAGTAAAATCCTAGCATCAAAAAGCTTGTATGCATAATCTTTAAGCACCTTCTGATGAGCCTGTGCAAGTAAACAAGAGATTTTTTTTTTAAAGTGTTTTTTTCTTGAGGGCAGTTCTTTTTTTAAACTTCAGCTAAGGATTACTCAGTATTTCAGGTTTCACTTGCTTTACAAATCATGCTTCAACAAGATCAGACATTATTGCTGCTGCAGAATTAAACTTTCTGTCAGAGTGCCTTCCTGTCAGTTTTATATGGCCTCCACAGCACAAATTCCAATTTAGCGCTTTTAAAAAGATTCATCCGTGCCTTTCATTATGTATTTTGTTGGGGAGATAAAGAATTACAGAAGATTGCTCTCAATACAACAAATGGCTTGCTTTGCCACAGGATGATGGGTGTAAGAAAACGTATGCATCTCTGATGGTAATTTGACTAGTGTTTGAAATATTAGTACTTACTGTGCTGCTCCTTCCCTGAGAAGATTGTCATTGTTAAGCAATAACCGGACATCTGGAGAAAAGAGAATTCAGGTAGATTATTGGATTTTTTTATCAAATGTTTCTCTTTATGCATTTCATTTTCAACTGTACAAATGCAAACATTAAAATGATCAAATAATTTCATTAAGCATATGTGGTCACAGAATGACAGCATGCTCTTCCCTCACCACTTCTTAACCTTAAGTATATTGTGACACAGTCTTAGGCTCTTACAATAGATGAAACGTGAAGAAAACACCACTGATCATTTTCCTTATTTACTTACCGTTGAATACTTCATTGAATTCTCCAGGGGGTGCATGAGTGATGAATTTTGCAGCTATACGCACCTACAATGAAGCAGAAAAGTAACTGAACTAAAGACAAAAGATAATTCAGTGAGTTCATACATACTGCAACCTACACTGAAGCGATTCACGAACAAAAGTAACTCTGAGAGTGATAGGAAGTGCCAGATTTAAGGAGAAATTTAGGCATGCATTGTCAAGACAGAAGTAGTCTCATAAGACCACATTTTTTTTCAGTGTAATAGAGCAGAATAATTCCAAATGTACTCAAGGAGGAAGTGCAAACTTCACATGGGCACCTGTAAAAATGTGAACTGTTCAACCTGCATAGTACTAACCTATTTAAAGAATACGAATGCTGGCTAGACACCCTTCTTGGTGACATTCCTAAACAATGTTTTTTCCTGCTCCTTGCTAGTAATCAGAAACCTAAATGCCAAGGTATACAACAAGTAAGAAACCACTGCAGTAAAAGTGACACTGTAACTAGATGGTAGCTACAGCACAACCACACAGCTAAGGAGTATCTGACATACATTACAGGAGACTGTGATTCCCTGTTGTTTGCTGCTGATGACTGGCTGAAGGAGATGCCGCTGCTTCACAGAAAACAGCATGTGAAGGATGAGAGGTTGATCCCTCTAGAAATGGAGCAGTAAATCAGTTACATCAACTGCCATGGGACCACTTCCAGAGTTAATTATGCCTCATGGACCTCGAAAGCCACTGATGTCCTCAAGAGTGCAGAAGGTGGTATGGAGATAGAAGAAAAGCTGGGAACTGACAGAAATGGGGGAGGTGATGGAAAGGCCCAAAATGAACCAGGGAAGTCAGACAGAGCCTCCAAATGAAGCCATCCAAATTTCAGCAGGTATTGGCTTTTTTTTTTGTTGATCATGTAATGCTGCCCTGGTGACTTCTAACCCCCAGCAGTAAACACATCAACTGTGCCATTCTGTTGCATGTTAATCCACTGATCTTGTAGTATGTTATTGGAAACGGCACTGTAGTCCAGCCATGAACTGTCAGATTTGGGGAAGAATTCAGCCATCTAGAAAATCTATTGACACAATAAATAACTGGTATGGCCAGCTGTAAGGAAAATACCTGAATATCTGCAAACTTTGAAGCTGGAGAAGAAAAACTCATTCTCTTCTAAAAAGTAGTAAAACTGCACTGTGTTCTAAAATCCAATATACATGTCTTGCATTGTTAGAATTTAGGTGGTCTAGGTATTGATTCTGTTGGAATTAGTAAGAGTTTATGGTTTTCATCATCAAATCTTTGATGTTTTTTACAGGACTAAAGAGAATAGAATCATCTTAGAAGACCTAAAACAGGAAATATCACAAAATTAAACCTCTCCCTTAGAATAATAAAAATGTCACATTTCTTCCAATAAGCACAGCTAACAAAGCTGTGCAATAAGCCTTTCTTGCTCAACTAGACACTCATTGAAGATGACTGCAGTACAGTGCTCATTACAACTCTGATTACTTTTTCCACTTTTCATTTTGAGCAGTAAAACAAAGGGGTGTGTATATATCCAATGACTTCAGATGAATTATTGTCAGAGCTGGAAATAACTTGCTTCTGTCAACACTCTTCCCCATTTTAATTAGAAATTGGTTTTAGTATTGTTTGTCACAAAGATTTAAAGCAAACCATGAAAGGAAATATGCCCTTTGTTTGGAAAGGTGTTTATTGCCTTATTCCACAGTATCAAGTAACAACTCTGCCTTAACTGGATTGAGCTTCAGATAAAAATAGATCATCTTCCAAATTAGCATCTATTTAAAAAATATATATACATTCTTTATGCCATGAGTAATTATGCAATGCAAATGAAAAATGAAAAAGTCAGTAAATTGTGTAATTGATACAATACAGAATGTCAAACCATTTTCTCCTAAGTTTCTGCTTTTATGTAAGATTGGTAAGTATACAGCAATCCTAAAAATGTAGCTCTTACTGTGTGAAAATTTTCACTATTTAAAGAACTGTAATTAGGACACACTGCTGCCATAATCTTGTTAGATTTCACTATCAGAAATTTGGATGGTGATGAAGATAACCTAGCAGTAATTAAGAGGGACACTGCTGCTTTGTATTCTCTTTGGATTTTACTGAAAGCCAGCCCTAAATGGCTGAAAGACTTCTGAAATGACACCATGTGCTTTTCTAAGAAAGAGCAAGTGTAAGCACTAGTACAAGCACATCACTGTGTGAAAGCGCTTATGTACCACTTCACGCCATGATGCCTCTCAGTGGAAGGACTGCACTAGAATACATCCTGCAAATTAATTCACCAGATGAACAGACTCCCTTTTATGAGGTGCTTCAACATATGGAAAAATAAGGCCTCTAAAAAGCCATAAAATTTAGTATCTTATAAATTTATGCAACAATGTTGTGGCTGCGGAATTGTACTGTATGTGGAACCCACACAAAAGGGACCACTGTTTTAATAGGTTGACTTTTAGATCAATAGATTCTATAAACAGATCCTTGTGAAAAAACCAAATATTACAGTGGAGATTTTTACATCTTCCACAAATTCTTCCACTTGGAAGAATGAACAAAATTAAATCAAGACAGAAAGGACTCTGCATTTCAATCAAATATTATCACAAAACCAGACATAAGCAAAGCAAACGCTGCAAGTGAAGAGTGTTCAGTTTATAAAGTATCGCTAGTCCTGCCTCTCTCGCAGAGCAAAAAAATAAAAAGCATTTAAGCCAAACTACTGAAATCAGGAGTGGAGTGCAGCAAACAGGCTGCGGAGTAATTAATGCTAAATGTCAAGCATTTGAATCACTGTTGGTTTTTAGTGTTGTTTTGTTTCAAACTGGTGTCAGCACAGGGGCAGGATGTTAATTTGCAGAAGCATGAAAATAAGACTTTCTGCAAACTGACCTACTTCCTGGCCATCACTGCCATTTCAGGTAGCTCTGCAACACGCTAGCAAAACGAACTTCCTGCTTCTAAAATGGGGAAAGTGTCTGAGAGGGAAGCTGCTCAACCATTAGTTTCAGCTGGCAAAATGGCAGCAGAATGAACTTTAAGTAGCCATGGGTACATTGTATAGACCTTAAACTAAAATAACTCCCTTAGCTTACCTAAAATATGCCTATAGAGAATAAAGAAGTGAGGCTTGGGTGGTGGTGGAATAAATTAATTTCGTTGCTCTATTGATTTTTTTGGTTTTTTTTCTTTATTTTGAAGCATTGGTAAATTGAGACTTAAAAAAGGAAACATATATAAAAGTTTTAGACCTATCTGAATGGTTATAAAATGGATACTACAGTAAATGTTTGCTGCATGTTTCTTTTTCAGACCCTCACTTAAGATTATCCTTTTCTACCTGTGCTAAGTATGAAGCTACTTTAAATTGAATCTAGGTTGCTTGAGCTGGGACATGAAATAGAACATAGGCTCCAATTTCAGCTGAAATCCCATCTATTCCACCAAATAAATCCACTTGGGCACACGTAGTTCTGAAGAGCCTCTTCTTGAAGGACAATCTTCCCCCAAAGTGCTTTGAAAGAACTGCAGATCTCAGGTGAATGCAGGAGGAGGAAAAAACTGCCTAGTGACCCCAGGTTCTTGCAACACTGACTCTCATTCCCAGACTAAATGGCCAGCCTAGGTCTATCAAACCTGTATCACCATAACCCCCAACACGATAAAGCTTCAGTTTTGTTTAGTTTTCACATCAAATGCAATGATGACTTCAATTTTAGCAGTTCAGATGAAATTCAGCCGAATGAAGTCAAGTGAAATATTTTATACACCATTGGATAGATTTCAGTTATGTGCTAAAGACCACATGAATTCTGTTCTGGAATACTTATTTCAATATTTTAGATAACATGAGTATTATTTAACTAAAGGATGAATTGCACCTTTAAAGCACTATCTGCTTGTTTCACGATGAATGTCACTGTAATGAAGCTGAAATTGGCAGTTTAAGGGAAAAATGAAAGCAGGCTCCAGACTTGTAAGATCCTTGAAGATCTGCGAGCCTTAATGCCCCCTCCAGAACATTAAGAAACAAAGCAAAAAGCTACATGCAGTATTTTCATGATGTAAGGAAGAGTAACGGTGGATTTTTTAACTACTGTTTGTAGGTAACTAGTGTTACCTGGCAGAAAAGACAATCTCTTAATTTATTAAATGAAACTCAGTGCTTCTTATAAGACTGTAATTTTCCCACATTCCTACACAAGGGGAGCAATCTCTTCATTCTTCCCTTTCCTAAAATAAATATTGCTCTATTTGCTTCTGCTCAGTCCCTTCCATCCAGTACAACGTAGGATCTATGTCAAGTTACTGTCAGCAGCTGGGCCAAGCAGAAAACGTGAAGACACGCTCTGAAGGTGGTCGGCACTGAACAGGTTTCACAGCACCTTTTAAAGACGCCGCTAACTTTGTTGACCTGGGAAAAGAATGCCCAAGAGCAGAAAATATATTTTCGTGCATAAAGACGCGCCGAAGCACCTCAGCTGCACCCAGGCAATAAGGAAATCGAAATGCAAAGCGTTGCGCTGATAAGTAACCGCTGATCTCTGGCCGACCGGCCTCTCACCCGGGCAGCGGCGGCTCGGCCGGTCTCGGGGACCCGCCCACCCC